ACATCTGTGTAAGATCATCAAGAAGATCTTATCTCTTTATTCCCTCCCGGAAAACTCGTGTATCAACGCTACGCTAGCCGCCTTATCAATGAAAACATTGCCGAGAATTATACGAACTCCAGAGAAGTTAAGCTTTTCATTCAAAGAAATACTTTATTTCTGATCTCAGTGCTGCGTTTTTTATCCTAAACTGCAGATTTTACTGACTTTTTCATTCAAATTGATGCTTACATGTATCAATTGAACTTAAAATAATGCTGGGCGCACTCCAATCCCGCGTGTAATTTGTTTTCAGAAAATTGATTGTGTATAATATAAGTTTTCATCGTAGAACGAGTTACAAAACGTGTCGTTTTTATAAATTGAAAATTTTCTAGGTAGATTAACGAGATATCTTTCTGGTTCTAGTATTTCTTTATAAATACGATAATTTACACCCTTTGATGAGTTAAAAACATTACTTTGCCAGTTTTGGATATTTTGATCAACAAGTATTCTTTTTACTTCATTTTTTACCCATGCTACATTGTACATTTGTTGTGTTGTCCATAAATAAGATAATCCACAATCGTCTAAAATATTTTTAACAAAGTTAACCCAAGGCAAATTATGCCTTGGAGCTAGAACATACATTTTTGTAGCAAATTTATCCATCGTTTGAGAAAAATGTAGTTTTGCCCAAAAAGAAATCATTCTCACCTTAATATGAATGATAAGTGGGAATCTGCCAAGTTCCCCATACACCATGTAGTTTGGCGTTTTAGTGTTCAAACCTAGTATATATTTACAATATTTTAATTGAAGTTTTTCGATTAAAGTATTTTTTGTAAATCCCCATATTTCACATCTATATAACAAAACTGGTTGTACAATTCTGTCAAACAAATCTATCTGACAATCATAGAAAGATTATGTTGTTTACATTTTGATATCACTTCATACATAGCTTTTACAGATTTATTGTATTGTTCTTTTATATTTTGATTAAAAGAACCTGATTTTGAAAAATATATTCCTAAATACTTATAACTATCAACAATCTCTAGACTTAAACCATCATATGTAAAATATAAATCTTGTTTTATTCGACCTCTTCCAAAAATCATTATTTTTGTTTTGTCAACATTCACTTTTAACCGCCATTTTATACAATATTCATGAAAACAATTCAACATATTTTGTAATGACTCAGGGTTTTCAGCAAATAAAACAGTGTCATCAGCATACAGCAGAGCAAAAAGCTTAATATACACATGAAGTTCATTCTCAATCATTTCAGATATTTTCTCTAAACCAGTTATATCATTCATGGTGAGGAATGATTCTAAATCATTTAAATAGAGCGAGAACAAAAAAGGGGATAAATTTTCACCCTGTCTTACACCAAGTTGACAAGGGAAAGTATCTGAAAGAACACCATTTACTCTAATTTTTGCCTTGATACCCTCATACATTTTCTTGATTATTCTAAAGTATTTTCCATCTATATTACAATCAAATAGTATTTTGTTCCAGAGACCTATTCTCCATACAGAATCAAAAGCTTTTTCAAAATCAATAAAGGCACAATAAATTCTTTTTTTTTTTTTTTATCTTTTTGAATATTTCGATGATTGTATGCAAAGTAAATATGTGATCAGTTGTACCATAATTTTTACGAAATCCAGCTTGGTTTTCTTGTATTATTTTGAATTCTTCTGAATATCTATTAAGTCTATTATTTAAAATGGATGTAAATAGCTTTCCAATACAACTAATTAAAGTTATTGGGCGATAATTTTTGGGTTCAGTATCATCACCTTTATTCTTATAGATAGGAATTATTTCACCACACAGCCAATCGGAGGGGAAACAACCACTGTCAAGAATTTTGTTGAATATTATTTGATAGAGGGGCACCATTATGTTGCATGAACTTTTAATATATTCATTGTATATGTCATCACTTCCACATGATTTGTTTCTTTTAAGACTTTTTATACTTTGCATTATTTCATCACAAGTTATCGATTCGTTTATAGACTCATTACACTGTAAATTAGAAAGAATATCCATATCCTCATTTGATAAAACATAGTCAGGTATTTCATTATCTTTTTCCATATTTAAATCTTTAAAAAATTCATATAATTCCTCAGCAGATGCATTTACATTTTTTCTATTTTTTTGCCCAGAGTTTATTATTTTCCAATATTCTTTCGGGTTTGTTGATTTTAGTTTTTTCAATTTTTCTTTCGTTTGATTTTTATAGTTATTTACACACTTATTCAACTATTTTTTATATATTTTTTCTTTACTATACATATCGTCTTTGAGATCTTTACTTCTATTTCTCTGGTAGCGTTTTTTAGCCTTACGAAATGTTTGTCGTGCGTTGTAACATTCTATTGTAAACCATGGTTGGTGAAAATCTATCTTTGATTTTCTTTGATTATTTTTTATCCCAAATATTTCCTTTGCACTTGATATAAGAATGTTACAGGTATCGTCTACAATTTTGTCAACAAAATCTAGATCGATTTCTTCGTCTTTAATATTGTCAAGAATTCCACATAAATTGTTAATTTCAATATTTTTCTGACCTAATTTTTCAAGAAAAATGTGTTGCAAGTCGTCATTCCAACCTTTAGCTTTATCTTTTTGTTCGTTGTTACAGGTATTTTCATTAGTAGTATTTCGTTTCTCTTGGTTAATTGTCAATGATAGTTCTACATAAATAGGATTATGGCAATCAAAATAAAGTTTCGAAAAATCATGAACTTCGAAATTTTTAACAACAGTCAAAAATTCAGCATTACCTATGCAATAATCTATTACACTTATACCTTTACATGTAGTTTTACCAATACATCTATCATTTCCCATACGACCATTCAAAATAAAAAGATCAGTATGTTTACAAAAATCGAGTAAAAGTTTGCCAAAATTATTCTTGACTAAGTCTTTTGATGACCGTTGCGATGGGATATTAAGTAAGTCTAATACATACAATTTTCAGGTAAAAAATCAGAATAAGTGTCACAGTTAGTAATGTCATCTGGGTCTATTCCAGTTCTTGCGTTAAAATCACCAATTAAACAAACATATTTACACTTGTTAGAAAAACGAACATATTCTTCTTCCAATTCTTCAAAAACATCACAAGATACATATTTAGAATTTTCAGGTGGTATGTAAACAGCACCTAAAAGTAATGTTTCATTTAACACTTTTTTATTAAGGTTGAATTTTAACCATAAACAATATTTACTTACAGAATCTATTAATTCTAATGAATTAACAAGTGTTTCTCTAACAAAAACAACAATACCACCCGATTTAAAGCGAGATAACTCGCGACGGTGCTTTCCAAACATTTTAAAACCAGGTATTATTACATGATCTGTGTTATCGGTTTTAGATTCATTTACGCATATGATATCATATTTTGTGAGATATCGATAAATTCTGTACAGTTAATTTTACTTATTAAACCACAAACATTAAGTGAAACAATTTTAAAAGAGGATATTTCATCATGGGATAGGCATCCATCCTCCTCAAATCCCTAGTGTCCTGGTTGTCCTGAATGAGTAAAGTCCATTGGGGCGGATCCTCTGACGGGCTCCTCCGTTGGGGCGGGTCCTCTCACGGGTTCCTCTGGGCCGCTATCCTGGAACTCCTCGTCATAGTCTGGATCGTATAACTGGCCGTTCACGTAAAGTTTATCCCTGACCATCCTAACCGTGTCACCTTGTTCGCGGAACTGCCTCATCACAGGGTAGAGGGTCCTTCTGCGATCTTCCACAACAGCTGGAAATTGTTGGTGTATTCCATAAAGGCTGCCCTTCAAGCGATATGCACAATCTAACACCAGGTCTACATCTCTTTGGTATACGAATCTAGCCACTATCGGCCTGGGTAAGCTGTACAGAAAATGTTGATGCGGACAAGTAGACAAAAATGTTTTCATATTTATCACGATTGCTTCACAAATGTGTTGATAAATACAGATTTATAGATAAGTACAATAATAAAGGGGAACAAATTCGATTGGATTTGACTTCAGTCTGTTTCAAATTCCTCTTTAAATACTATATACCGTCGGGGTCTGCAGAAGGAAATATCTCAGCAAGAAAATTATTATTTCAAGGAGCCAAAATATCTATGTACCATTGTCATGTTCAGCGAAGGAAAGTTTAAAATCAATATCAATTCAATAGTCTTCGATCAAAATAAATTGACTGCAGGGAACTAAATATTTGCAGATGCTGTTGCATTATGGTTTTTTATTCCCCTATTTATATTTAGTTTTGACATGTTGTCACTCAAAGAGAAAAATATAAAACCATGACGCTACAGTGTAATCCTCCAGCAATGGGTTTGAGTGAATTTTTGTATGGAATAAAAAAAAAACAAATAAAACTTCATTAATAATATTCAAGCAGATTGAAAGCAAATTGAATTAATTTGTTCAATAAATAACTTAACGTCGTTAGATGAAGTTTTTGATATAATTCTAGTCGTTTTATAGCAACAGTGTGTGATACATTTAAAGAACAAAAAAGAATTATTAGGGCTATGGTGTTTAGGTCTTTTTTTCTCTCTCGATATTTAAGTAAATTTTTAAGAAAATAAGTATTTTGATAATAGCATATTTCTCACTAAAACTATATAAAGTAAATGATAATAGTTTCAACTCAACTGTATTTTTAAAAAATTAACAGACCGCAGTTCGCACCGAATGGACATGGAATCGATATAGAAACCATGTATTTTTGTTATTCATTCAGGCCAGGAATAAAGTTGCCATTGTTAATTGTCAATGTGCAACTAAATTCAATAAACGTACGAAGTTCTTTATCGATTAAATTTAACTTCTTTAAAAAGTATTTAATTAACAAGTTCCGAAGTCAATTGCAAGTAAAGAACATTTTTGAATTGGACCAATTTCACGATCTTATTTCAGAACATTTTTTTAATTCATCAGACCTAGAGGACTAACGCATTTGTCCACGTCTAAAATGAGGGCACTTAATATCAAGATTTTATTTCCACTATTTCTTCTTAGCGTTCTATTAAACTGTAATGCCGAGGATTGCACATCTCTGTTATATGACAAAGATGTACCACAGGCGTTCAACACTCGTACCTACGAGACTATAACGATATTTCCGGGCTCCGTGATCGGCCATTGTTCTGGTAGATGTTTAGAAAATCTGGAATGTCAGGCGGTAGAAGTTTGTGAATCCGGCGGAGCGGAGTACTGTAGATTTGTAAAGGGATGGGATCCTACTTTTACAGATTCGGGCAGCGGGGGCACCTGTCAGCAGTATCGAGTGGTAAGGATAGCATAAGTTTAAATTATATTAATAATCATAATTGATAAATTAACCAAATTTAATTAAACGCAAATGATATAGATTGTACAAATAAAAAAAAAAGAAAATCTTTCATTATCATTTATAGATTTTGATATAAATTTTGATTAATTTTACTGCCAAACCGTAAATTTCGGACGGGAGTGTGACATTTTCAACAAAACACAAATTTAAACCACGTACAAAGCAAATACACAAACAGATATTAATTGAAAACAAAAATAGATTATTTTTTTTAACTCTCGAATTTCATTATTAATTCTGCAACGTTCTTGAAACATTAAACCTTCGTCTTAATCTCTATCCAGAGTTGTATTTCTTATCACTCATAAACATAGACTCGGAGAAGAATCGATAGGCATTTGTTTCTTATACAAGGCACCCCTTATTTTTTTCTTTTACTTTTCTGCAAAATCAAGCATTGAAAACTACGCTAATACATTAAATTAATTGTATTAAGTCTTATATTAAGAAGAGAAGTACAGTTATATCGAAACTGTGCCCAGACATTCCAAATATGAATTCATGGACTGTTATTAACATTTCTTTGATGAGTTAAGGTATTTCCACCCTTGTGATTTTATAGGCTCAGTTTGGAAAAAAAGAAAAAAAAACCCATTATTTTTCACTAAATAAATCAATGATTTTTTTTTAAAAATCACAAAGTGTGATTACCAGGTTGATGCATTCGATAATTTTGTTAACGTTGTTCTTTTATTCTATAGATGCTGAACACCACTTGTGATCCTTTGGAATACTATGACAGAGCTACAGGACAGTGTCTAGCACAAGGTACATAATCCGGGAAATATACTGCAACATTTGTATTGAAGATCACAAAAAAGATGTTCTTCATATGATAATTAATGATATGACACATGTATCATTCAAACTTTCAAATCTTGCGGACATACATCCCTCAATACCGGTAAATATCCTACATTTAAGGAATAACTGTCTAATTTTTTGGTTTCGTGATGTGATCAATCGATTGGCTTGCGTGATAATTAGCATACACGCCGAAGGCATTTATGCCTAAAATTTTCACACAAGTGAAGACAATCTATTGATCATCTTCATGAAATAAAAAAAAAACTGGCAGTAATTCCTTATATTTACATTCTCTTGATTCCGCAAAACCATGTGCTACAGGCCCCGCTTCTGTCTCTATATGTTCCGCTGCTCACGTGATTTTTTTAACCACGCCTTTCGATGAAACAGTATGCATTTACATGCACGAAAAAATAAAGTTCATTTACTATTTGTAATTTTATCTCTAACAAAGACATTGGAAATGTAAATATGTAATCAAAAATGACAGGAAAGAGAGAGGGGAAAGATTCCACTGTTACAACCACTATTGAAATAACGACCACTATTGACATAATTTTTTCAATAGTAGTCGTTATTTCAATAGTAGGCCTAGCTAAAAAAAACAGTCTACGCCACACTTCAGGCTCTTCTTTCCTGTAATAAAGTTTAAACCCATAGTCTAGTATAATAATAACAAACTAAGGTACATGTATCCAACTTCAAATTACACCAAAATCGCTCTCATTTCACTTTCGTAGTAAATTTACTGGCTATAACTCTAATTACCATTGTCTGATAATTTACATTTGTATCTATACATAACCATATATGGCATGCTTGTCTTTATTTTCTTTTTTATCCGAACACAGCATCAAAAAATCTGTAAAATCCATCTCACGAAAGTGTCAATCGGCAATGGTATGTGGAAATTTCGGGCAGAGTGCAAATTTTAAAATGGGTTCTATTGGGTCTGAAAATTCAATTGCAGTGAAAAAAATATATGCTTACGTTAATTTTCCATAAAAGCTTAACGATATTTTTCAGAGAGAATTTTAGAAAAAGAGTTTTAGCTATTCAACATGCCCAAAGACCAGGAATCTATTGCGCAAGGGGTTAGCACATATATTTTATGTACCATGTGCTCTATATCCGCGCAAATCGTACACTCTTAGAGAAAAGAGAGAAGGTACACGAACAGGTCTATAATTCATATATTTTCTACTAGTTACACTGAAAAAGCCAAAAGAAAGAAATTGAACCCTTAAAGCTGCTTCAAACTTAGACATACCAAGATAATTGCATAGAATTCATATCACTAAGGCTTGTTGACGGGGTAGGATATTTCTTTCATGACATGATCGTATGACTAGACGATTCGACAACAAGGGGTTTTTATTTCCCTTGTACATGAGTTTCTTCTCATATACTGGCCTTTCCAATGTAATAGCGAGCGGAGTGGGCTCCTTAGAGTAACGTGTAAGAACCGAGGAAATTCGAAATGATTTCTGTACATGTATACGTCTGTGTGAAACACCTTCCCTGAATTCCATTCCTTTCGATAATGGCGAATAAATAAATTTATTACCTAATCAAGTGAATTTTGTTATTTTATTAGAGATTTAATATTTTCATCTATTCTGTAGGTGTTTACAGTTATTCTTATCTTTTCAAACCGATCTATTGACCGGTCAATAGAAGTGCGTTCTATTGACTGGTCAATAGACTGCGCGTTCTATTGACCGGTAACGTATTTCGGAAAAAAAACGATCCGGGTTTCGAATTTAGTTGTTTATAACAATGCACAGACATGGTAAACAATCATCTTAATTGATCTTTCGACATTGGTTTTAAAAATTGTATGACTTCAATGGTCGGGTATTTTATTTAATGAGAGTTACTTTTAATTAATACACTGTGGGATGTGGAGACTGGTCCTTCGGGTGAGACCTATAAACCGAGGTCCCGTGTAGCAGTAGGTGCTCTGCTGTCACGAAAAAGTTCCCTCTCCACCGGGAAATGGTGACGTCTCTATAAGAGTGCAAAATTTTTCTCGAGGAATGTAAACAAAATCTATACTATCAATCTTTAATTAATATTACAGATGCACCATATCTAGGTATAAATTTACAATATGGTACGGGAACCTTCTGTACTGAAAATACAATTGTGAACACTTAATACGGAAAGTAAAATTAGGTAATAAAACAATTATTTAATGCCTGAGCAGTCAATAGACCAGAAAATTTTCCCCTCGGTGCAGGGAACAGCTCAGTGTGTTCTATTACCCTCGGCCGCTGGCCTCGGGCAATAGAACACACTGAGCTGTTCCCTGCACTTCGGGAAAAATATTCTGGTCTATTGACTGCTCAGGCATTAAATAATTGTATATACAAAAATGGCTTGTAGAAGTCCTAAAAGAAACAAGAAAGTACTCAAGTACTCTACATTGACTTTCGACAAAAATTGCACTAGGTCTATGGTTTCTCCGTAAGCTCCAAGGAGCTCTGTGACGTCGTGTGACGTCACAGCTAGTCGAGATGTCTCACGAGACTTGATGTTTGAAGTGGCTGATCAATGTTTCAAGTCAGAAGTGTGTTTTTGATGGCAAAAATTAACTGCGCCCAGCGGTCACACATTAAAACATATCAGCGATATAAATATATATTACATGGAGTTAAAGTCGCATCAATATTCTAAAAACTTTATACGTCTACATTCAGCAGTTTGTTTAATTCTAGATGTGTGTGACTTTGAGTTAGCTACGGAACCATCATGTTTCCTAACGGAAGCAACAGATGATATATTCAACTGGATAAGGAAAACGGTAAACATTTAACAATCATCTTCACGATGTCAAAGTTGTGTCATGTTGTAAAATTTGAATTTATTAGGGAAATATAAATGCAAATTGAAAATTTACAATATGATTGTTTTGTAATATCGTTCCTCTACACAAGTACTGTCTATCCGCATTATTAAACATGATATACATAATCGGTATATTCATTCCAACTCACAGGGTACAACAAGTTCTGTTAGTACTGGTCCCAATGGCGCCAAGGTTGGTACCTACTACAAGTACATAGAAACATCCTCACCTCGAGTCACCGGGGACAACGCAAAATTGGTCAGCAATAGAGTGTTTGAAGGTATGCCTGATTTAGTTAAGATTACGTATGCAATAGAGCACGAGCAAAATAACCAAGTTATGGTATTAATTTTTTTTTTACTAAATACCGTATATCCGTTTTTTTTTCGCAATGATCTATTTTTTGCGATTATTTTTAATTTGCAAAATATTAAACACTCAGAAATTATGTCAGCTATAATGTGACATAAAAACATTACCATTTAAACATAAAAATCTTCAATCGTAAAAAAAAAACGTACGCAAAATATAAACTGTACTAATCTACCCCTTTTTCGCAAAATATCAAACACGCGAAAAAAAAAAAACCGGATATACGAGGGGTGATCAAAAAGTTCGCAAACTATCTCTATATCTACAAAACCACAATTCAGATTAGAATGAAATTCGGTACACACATAGCCATACACAAGGTCTATAAATAGCATATGCTGAATAAAGTTTTTCTCCTTGTTTGTGACGTCACAATGTGAAAATGACGTCACTTGTGACGAAAAATGGTTGTCTCAGTCGAACTCGTTCAACAAACGACTGTACAATTTATTGTAATATCTTAGAAATCCTTCTACAGTATCATATAATAATTTGTACACAGTTTATTGAGATAAATGAGTTCCTATAAATTCAATTAATGATTGGATTAATCGTTTTAGTGAAGGAAGGCTGATGGTTAAAAATGATACTTGTCATCTTGCCCAGTGAAAGCAAGTTTGAAAAGATATGTATTTTTAATTAAGCAATTTTCTATCAAAGACCTCCAATTAGCACTTTGAAAAATAGTTGAATATTTGAACAATGAAATGAGTATTAAATACCTAAGATATCGTTTACTTTAGATTTTAAACATATTAGATATGATAAAAAGGATGCACCCATTCTCTATCCACCTTGAATAAAGGTCTCTCCCGAGACAGAAGGTTTGTGTTTTAATGGTCGCCATGCTTATTTTTGGAAAGGATGTTATTATCCACCCATTCTGTTGCCGAGATATGACCATTTCTGACAAATGAACTGTTCTTGTCATAAAAATTAACTCACATGAAAAGAAATATAAAACTCGGAAAAATCATTTAAATTTTGTGACAGAACGCTACTGAGGGGGTCACGTGACCGCCAATATCACGTGATTCGCGCATGCGCAGAACGGTTGTTGATGTGCATTAAAATCGGGGAGGATTAATTTAAAATATAATCAACATTAAAACCAAATATTTTTTCTTGTATGGAAGTTATTCAATTAGTTTGCGAACTTTTTGATCACCCCTCGTACGGTATGCCCTCACAATGAAGCTGGAGGATGTAGTGGAATATCCCATATGTTGTGTTAGGGGATGGGGAGTGAAAAGGAGAGGGGTGGGTAAGTGCTTTATGACAAACTATTCCGGCGTTTAAATTTCAGACAAAACATACTGTATCTCCATGTACTACCACATGTACGGATCAACGACAGGAACTCTGAAGATTCAGACCAGGACCGGAAATGACACGGCGGTGACTCATTGGGAACTGACGGGTGACCAGGGAAACCAATGGTTCAGCATCGATAAACTCAACCTACCTCTGAATAACAACACGGAGGTACAGTACAGACATTATCAGCAAATACAATCTACGTTTAAGTCAAAAGCCTCCTGCCTTTTTTCATGCTAGTCATTAAGCTAATATCTTGCGGCCATTAGGGAGAGCGGAGATATCTATATATTCCGTTTTAATATAGATCGTACTCACCACCTGCCATTTCTACGTAGCTATAGACTATGACGTCACATGATGTAAAACGTATGTTGCATTACCAGATCGAAGTCAATTTTAAAGACATGAAAAAAAAAACTTTAATCTACTTTTATCTGCTATATATGTATCCTTGTATCCATTAAAAAAAAGATCAGAGTATTTTTTTTTCTTCAGAAGTCTTGTTATCACAAGAACATAGTTTGCAGTGAGATGCACTTCGCTAAAGAATTATGAGACCAATGGTCACTGCGTAAATGACCTTTGGATCAATGTGCAAAGTCCGCATTTTTTCTTCACAAGGCGTTCGAATCCCACTGTGGGACATGGAGACCGGTCCTTCAAATGAGACGGTATAAACCGAGGCCCCGTGTCGCAGAAGGTTCTGGCACAAAAAGATCCCACCCTGCTCAATCGTGCTGAGTGACGAGCATAGGACATAGGATATGCAACTCATCACCGGCAAGTGATGGCCTCGCTGTATTAGTGAAAATTTCTCCAGAGGGACGTTAAACAATTATTTTATACAATCAATCATCGCAGTGATATGTATTTATGCACTGAATTGTCAGCGGATATTTCTGTTATTTTCCGATTACGTTGTATGTTAGCTGCAGATCTGTAGCATTATGGTTTTATATATTTGACTTTGAATATAACGCTACAGATCCCGTAATGCAAAAAGGTGCAATTTACGGCGCAATATTTTTTGCGCGCATTTGGGGATAATTTCTCCACTTTCTAGCATTGGTCAATCAACTACTTTTCACTCCCTAATTTTAGACACAGTCTGTAGCCAATTTGTATATTTTATCCAACTTCCAACTATTTATAGTTGTCTCTACAGACAATAAACTTGCTTGGAGTGAAGTTTCAGCAATCTAACAAATAATTTTATCCAAGCGAGTTTATCACTTGAAGAGACGACTAAAAGAGGTAAGTGATAGATAAAATGCACAGATTAGTTAAATGATGTGGCTTGAATTAGAGAGTGAAAGGTAGTTAATTGACCGTTGCTGGAAAGTGAAGAAATTCTCCCTAAAAGTGCGCAAAAAAATATATTGCACCTTTTTGCATAACAGGATCTGTAGTGTTATGGTCAAAAACAAATATATAAAACCATAACGCTACAGTTCTGCAGCTAATTGTATGTCAAAAGGACACAAATCGGGTGTGACCGATCGGTAGGGGATGCTCACTCCTCCATGGCACCTGATTTCATACACCGCTGATGTTTTAGATACTAGTATCCGTGGATCCTTTGCTCCTGATTTGTTTAGTTGAAATGACATTTGAGCTTGAACGCAACACATGGAATAAACAAGTATTAATGAGATTAATCATATGTCGTTACTTTTACTTTCCATATTTCAACCGCAGTGTATACCAATAGGAACATTTAGGCTATAGCATAATTGACTTCTTTACACACATATTAGTCATTATGTTCTTTTTGTGTGAGATATGAAATATCATATGCCGAAGACCACCTTTTTGTGCTTTTTTAAACGTCTTACTATAAAATTGAAAAGATATTACAATATACATTAACAATCAGAAATGTTCAGTTTGTGCCTAACTTTTAGCACTGCCGTGTTTTTTTTTTTTTTTAGATAATCATCGATGCCTCCAGGGGAAGTAATTACTACAGCGACATCTCTGTTGACTACATAGTGTTGTGGCCCTTTGCTTGTCTCTGAGGACGTCACACAAATGATCAGCGTGTATATACAAGAATGGCCTTACCTCATTATAAATTTTCTATGCCTAGTTATTTTCAAGAAGAAAAAAAGTCTATGACAATGAGTTTAATTTCTTTCAGGAAAAGTGCTGTATATGTACATTATTGTTGTCCTTAATTGTTATTTGTGTGAAATTAATTAAGAAATCACTGTTTGGTTTGATGGATATTCCACGTGGCATAAATTATCCACGTTTCCAACTATTGTTGAAGTCGCTGGCATACCCAACAAACTAAATAATAATTCCGTACATTTTCTTTTCATTGTGAAATAAAATTCTAAATTCAGTTTAAAAACTAGTGCTAATTGTAACGGGGACCGTTACAGATGTTCCCCAAACGCTCCCCAACTCCCTTTTGGTGCCATATTCCCTGTTATGTCTATTAAATAAGAAATACCTTATGGAATTTAGACTAAATCAAGGTCTTCCCAGAAAAATACAAAATATATTTAAAAATAGGCATTGCACGCGTGTTCATGTGCGTAACGACCATATTATCTTGTCTACACTATCTAAAGTTTTAATGTACTTAATATCAAAGCATTTAATCCAAAAGTAAAAAAAATATACTCATTCGAGTGTATTTTTAATTTTACTCATTTCACGTGCACTCACGTGCAAGCACGTGCATAATGACTACACCTTCTTGTAGGCGTCCCTTATATTTATCTATGTTCTAAATTCCATCCTGTTTGGTTGAAAAACAAGGGAGTTATAGCCATTTGAAGTTTCAGCCAATCAGATTGCAGCACACATGCATGCGCGTGATTTCATAAATTTTTATCTTTATCGTATTGAAGGATATGAAAATGAATGATTATATTTTAAAATTCCAAACATTTCGTCAAAAAACAAAGGATATATAGCCATATAAAGTTTCAGCCAATCAGATTGCAGCACACGAGCATGCGCCTGATTTCATGAATTTTTTTTCTATATCATATTTTAGGATATCGAATTGCATGACTATGCTTAAAATTTCAAAGCATTTTGTCAAAAAACAAAGGAGATATAGCCATTTAAAGTTTCAGCCAATCAGATTGCAGCACGCACGCATGCACATGCTTGAAATCATGAAAATTTTTATATATCATGCTGTAGACCTTTATAATGTAGGACTATGTTCAAAATTTCAAAAGATTATGACAAGAAACAAGAAAGATATTGAGACTTTAGTTTCAGCCAATCAGAGCGAATCGCACGTGCATGCGCGTGAGATCTTGCTATTTTGACCATGCCATCTTGTCTATACTACCAATGTATCCTTACATTATGAGTTTCAAAAAAATTTATCAAAAAAGAGAAAAGTCACAGCAATATCCATTATATTGGTCATTTCACGTGTTGCACGTGTGCGCTCTTGCAAGCACGTGCGCGCAAAATGACCTTCGTTCGGCAAATCTACATAACATGTCTACTGACCCTAAAAACATTTTACCTTAGTCGGATGTGTAGTTTACAAGATCACTCGTGGACAAAATTTTCCCAGGAAAAATAATAATAACTAGATGCGTTCTTGTTTCTGGTGCAACAAGCAGGTCTTCCGACCGACTTCTCTTTTTCCATATTGTCTGCGTCATCCCATGAAATAGATTTCATAATGTATTTTTTCGTTTACGTTCATTTACAGCAGTTTCTCAACACAGATCGTGATTGTTCCAGGTATTTCACAAAATATCTCCAAATATAGCTTTTAAAAATCGGCAAAATCTTCCACACATGTTATAAAAGAGTGAAAAGAAATTTGCAACTGAAAAAAGACAAAAACAAAGAAAAAATTTGGGGAACGCCCCGAGCAGGATTGGAACCCCCGACATTAAGACAAAGTTTGGTTCGGTCATATCTTTGCAATAAACGCACGCATGAAAAAAAATAAAAACATATATAGATATCTTTGAAGACGCTCTATAAACCCTGTAAATCCGAAAGAAAAATATTGAAAAACAAAAAAGTTGAAAAATTACACTTTTTGAATTCACTTCCGTTTGCGACCGGAAGTAGGAACGACAAAAAATGAAGGACGTTCGGCACATCTACATGTGATGGTCTTTCATGTCCATAAGTTTCAATGTCATATCTTTGGCCGTTTTCGAGAAAAGTTGTGTACAAAAATCCATTTAAAAAATACAAATTTCCCCAAAAATCGCGAACGGAAGAAAATTTTGAAAAAATGAAAAACACGTCTGGAGATATTAACCTGGTGCATCATTCCTGTGAAAATCTTTGAAATCCGTACAGTCACAGCGGAGATATCGCCATGGAAATGAAAAAAGAATAATAATAATAATAACTAGATGCGTTCTTGTTGCTGGTGCAACAAGCAGGTCTTCCGACCGACTTCTCTTTTGCGATCTAGTATGCGTCATCCCATGAAATAGATTTCATAATGTATTTTTTTGTTTACGTTCATTTACAGTAGTTTCTCAACAATCGTGATTGTTCCGGGTATTTCACATAATATCTCCAAATATAGCTTTTAAAAATCGGCAAAATCTTCCACACATGTTATAAAAGAGTGAAAAGTAATTTGCAACTGAAAAAAGACAAAAACAAAGAAAAAATTTGGGGAACGCCCCGAACGGGATTCGAACCCCCGACAGTAAGACAAAGTTTGCTTCGGTCATATCTTTGCAATAAACGCACGCAAGAAAAAAATGAAAACATATATAGATATCGTTGAAGACGCTCTATAAACCCTGTAAATCCGAAAGAAAAATATTGAAAAACAAAAAAGTTGAAAAATTAGACTTTTTGAATTCACTTCCGTTTGCGACCGGAAGTAGAAACGACAAAAAATGAAGGACGTTCGGCACATCTACATTTGATGCTCTTTCATGTCCATGAGTTTCAATGTCATATCTTTAGCCGTTTTCGAGAAAAGTAGGGTACAAAAATCCATTTAAAAAATACAAATTTCCCCAAAAATCGCGAATGGAAGCAAATTTCCAAAAAATGAAAAACACGTCTGGAGATATTAACGTGATGCATCTTTCCTGTAGAAATCTTTGAAATCCGTACAGTCACAGCTGAGATATCGCCATAACTATGAAAAAAGAATAATAATTATAATAATAACTAGATGAGATCTCGTTGCGAGCAACGAG